TGCAGGATTTTACAGGACTTAGATATTGAAGAAGGTAAGAAGGAAGGGAGGGAAGGGGTTGTTGGGGAGGGAGAGAAAGAGGAAGGGATGCAGTGAGAGAGGAGAAGGAAGAAAGGCACATGTAGGAACAATAAGTGATTTCTCTTCCAGGATTTGTTCTTATGTTTTGACCTATGAAATAAAGGGTATCATTGCTGCTAGTAAAATGGGGCCTAATAATAATAATAATAATAATAATAATAATTACCTTTCAGGGTTGTGAGTATTAAATGTGATCAGGCAGAATTTCTTGGCTATAGTAGACACAATCTTTCTTACGGTGTGAATTTTAACAGTTGTGATTAGAGCTGGTGAACTTGCTGTGCACCTAGAGAGAAGCCTGGTGTGTATATATGGAAGCCAGGCAGAAATTTAGAAGTTACTATTGTGGTAGGCATCTTGTATGTGTGTATTTCTAGCAGGTATCTCTTCCTCTTCCTTTTGGTCATAAAGGTGGCATGGGCAATCAGCTGGGTCAGTCAGAGTTCTTCCTCTGGGTTTTAAGTGGATCTGGCAGAGAAGAGATCCGTTTTCTCTGTTGTGAAGTTGTGGAGATATGGTCTAGAGCTGGGGCTGGGGAGGCTCATGCACATAAGTTGTTGGAGACAGTGGAGCCCATCCTAAGAGCTGAGGGTGCATCAGGTTCATTCCCCTCTTCCCTCCATTGTTTATATCATCTAATATTATCCTCTTTTTGGCTTAAGGTAGTTCAAGGACTTTCAAACAGGAAGTCTTGATAAATACAAAAGCAACTTTGGAGTGTTTCTATTATTTTGTTATTTCTCTGTTAAGGATCTCCAATTTTGGAAGCAATTGGGTCATCTATCATTTGTAGCTTTTTAACCTTATCTGTGTGGTTTATTTTAATTTGAAAAGCCAATTTAAGAAGCATCACAAGATTCTTCTTCACATTAATTAAGATGGAATACATAAAAATGCAGTTCTTCACGTACTATTTTGTGGCTTTCCGTAAGAGCAGTATGTTGCATTATTCATTCAACGTCCTCAGTAGAGTAACAGTAACATTTAATGAAGTATAGCATTTAAGTAGTACAGAGTTTTCAGCTGCATTTCAATCTGGCTTTCCCTCATGGAAATATGATCCTTGTAGGAATTCCCCATGACACAGCACAGTGATTTGAGAGGTAATTTAGAAGAAGAGTTTTTATATTACACTCATGCACTGAAAGAGAAAAATGTCAGACTTTCTGAATCCAAATGATAGAAGTCCCAAACATTCTAGGAGAAGCAAGGATTTGAGAGTTTATCATTCTCATTTTAAAAGCTAAAGCAGTAAAATAGTTTGTACCTGGACAGAAACTTGATTTTTTTCATTCATCTCAAACAATAACTAATACTACTGATTACTATTATTATTTTAAACTGTTTTATTGAGGTATAGTTTCATACCATAAAATCCACCTGTTTTTAAAGTAAAATTCAGTGATTTTTAGCAAATTACATAGTTGTGCAACCATCACCCCAACCAACTTTAGAATGTTTCTGTCATCCCAAAAAGATACCTTATATCCATTTGCAGTCACTCCCTGTTTTTTACCCCCCAGCTCCAGACAACCACTTTCTGTCTCTATACATTCGTCTTTTCTGGACAGTTCATGTAAATGTGTAATATAATATTCATCCTTTGTGTCTGACTTCCTTCTTTGACAAAACATTTTTAGAAGTTTATTCATTTTGTTTATCCATTTACAAATTCATAGACCTTTGGATCATTTCCAATTTTGGGGGACTATTATGAATGATACTGGTATGAATATTTATATCTAAGTCTTTGTGTGGATATGTAGTGTAGATTCTCTTGGGTAGATTCCTAGGAGTGGAAATGCAGGGCTCAATGATAAATTTTTTTACTATTTAATTTAATTTAATTTTTGTTTGAAGTAGGCTCCACACCCAGTGAGGGCTTAAATTCAAGATCAAGCCTTGAGATCAAGAATTGCATGATCTATGGACTGAGACAACCAGGAACCTCTCATTTTTTTTTTTTTTTTTTTAAAGAGTATAGTTGATGCACAATGTTACATTAGTTTCAGGAGTACAACTTAGTGATTTGATTCAAGTTTATACATCATGCTTTGTTCACTACAAGTATAACTATCATCTGTTCCATGACATTACTATCACAATATCCTTGACTGTATTCATTATGATTTGCTTTTTTTCCATGACTTACTCATTCCATAACTGGAGGATTGCATCTAACACTCCCCCTCACCCATTTTGCCCATCCCTTCAACCCCCTTCCCTCTGGCAGCCATCAATTTATTCCCTGTATTTATACGTTTGATTCTTGTTTATTTATTTATTTATTTATTTATTAGTTTCATTTATGAGTGGAATCATACGGTTTTTGTCTTTCTCAGTCTGACTTACTTCACTTAGTATAATTACTTCTTGGTCTATCCATGTTATTTTTTCTCCATATCCTTGACAACATTTGCTATTATCTATCTTTTGATTATTGCCATTCTAGTGGATAGTATAGTGGTATCTTATAGATGTAATTTTCCTTAATGATTAATGATGCTGAGTATCTTTTCTAAGTCTATCAGCCATTTATATATCTTCTAAATGTCTGTTCACATATTCTGCCCATTTTCCGATTGGTTTATTTATATTCTTAATATTATCAGTTATTTTTTAATGGTTCTTTGATTTTGAACAGGTCTGATATCATCATAACCAGTATAAGTGGGAAATCTGGCAAATGTCTGGATTTCTGTACATGTGCTGCAATGTCTATGTGACTGAAATACAGGTTAGTATTTAAGTTTTGTTATTTTTGTACAGCAAAAAAGAGGCACTGGTTGGATTTTGTGGATGTTTCCAGAAATCCCAGAACTGCCTTAACCCATAAGCATTGACTGGTGAACGCACACTAGTTCTACCTTAGTTTGAAATGTTCCTGGAATTTACTTGGTTTATAATTTGGTGATTCATAAAGAGAATTATTGAGCAATTTTGAATCAATTATCACTGCTTAATGATTATTATGACATGCTTTATTAATGTAGAGGGTCAGGATATGTAAAATAGTATGTTTTGTGTTTAATTCATTTAAAATACAGGGTTATGGATTGTAAATACTCTTTTCTACTTCCTTGGATTATTTCTCCTATATTTTTATTTTTTTCATTCTTGGTTGTCCTCTATAATATGTTACTAAGTTCTTTGTATAACACAGCCAGATGTCTGGAAGTAAGCTGTGGAAACTTTAATAAGCTGTAGATTTTTAGTTCTGGAAGGATCATTAATAATAATCTCCCTCAAGGTTCAGATTTCATTAGATAGGGAAGTATAACCTCTGGAGATTTTGATTACTTAGGTCTGAGATGGTTCATGGGAATCTGTTTTTGTGCGTAGAGCTTCTGGTGATTCTTAGGGATCAGGCAGGTTTGTAAAATACTGGTGTGGTCGTTAAGAGCAGGGCTTTTGGAATCAGATGGATCTGGATATAAGTCACATTTCATTTAATTGCCAGCTGTGGGTTTTGGGGCACATAAATCATCTCCTGAAGTTTGTTTTTTTCTATTAACAGTACTTACCTCATCAAATTATTGAGAGGATTAAATGAAATAACATATATAAAGAGCAGGGCCCATAAAAATATATAGCAAATATTATCTATTATAAGTATGTTCTATTTAACAATAATCGTACAAATACTTGAACATTTATGTCCCATAATGAAGAAGACTCATTCCTCGCCCTTAGGAAATTTACCAATTAGTAGTGAGGTGAAGATGAGATTATACAGTAAAGGCAGTAAGTTATATCATTAAGGGGTGCCTGGCTGATTCAGTTGATAGAACATGTGATTTTTAAACTTGGGGTGCTGTTTGAGCCCACCTCCACTGTAGAGTTAAAAAAAATTGTATCATCAAGTAAGTTAAGAGCCATTCTTTTGAAGAAAAGAAATTACATAAGTAGACTGTGCTAGATTAAACTGAAGGGTGAGCGAGTGGAATGGAGTGGTGTGGGAATTAGGAACAATAAAGAACCAGAGGCAGGAAATGATAAAGCCTCATAAAACAGTGAACAGTCCCATTGGTCTCTTTCATATGGCAAACCTGGAGTAGTGTCAGGAGATAAGGACCGAAAGATAGGTGGGTTTTGGGGGGCGCTTGAGTGGCTCAGTCAGGTAAGCATCTACCTTCTGCTCAGGTCATGATCTCAGGGTCTTGGGACAGAGTCCTAGCAGGTATCCCTGCACAGCGTGAGCATGATTCGCCCTCTTCCCTCTCCCCCCACGCATACGTGGGTGTGTTCGGTCTCTCTCTGAAATAAGTAAATAGAATCTAAAAAATTAAAAAAAAAAAAAAAGAGAGAGAGAAAAGAAAAGTGGGTGTTTGAGAGAAGATTTAAGGAGCTTACCACACCCCCCCCACCGCCGCTGAAGACTTTGAACAGAATGATAGTAAGAATGTAGTGTACTTTAATCATCTAAAAAATGTACTTTAGATTAACCTGATAACACTGTGAGGGTAAGAATTGATATAGGGGGAAAATTAGGAGTTTGCTTCAACAGTAATAGTAATTCAGTAGTAATTAAGGGTTAATGACAATGGGAATCTACATCTCAAAACGAAATGCAAATGCTTAAAATACAGCTGAAAGATGCTCTGTTTAATTCCTATAGTCCAGGTAAATAAAGAAAAAAATGTCCATATTAAAGATTTTTCATATGGTCCATACTAAAGTTGTCCATATTTATTTTTAAAGACGGGTCCCTTATCTCAGTAGCTCTCAACTTTGGGAGTCAAGAGGAGGGGAAAGGACCCGAAGAGCACCCACGAGAGAGGGGCGGGGAGCAGGCCCCAAAGCCCAAGGGGGCGTGTGCAGGGGCGGGGACGCGGACGGAGGTGCGCGGCGACTCCGCGGTATCGCGAGAGTTGGGCGGGCCGAGCAATCGCAGCAGTCAATTCCCCCACCCTCCCGGGAGGAGCCGCCGGCCCTGGGCTCTCCAAATTCTGAGCTCTCATCATGGCGGCGGCGGCGGCCGCGGCGGCCGTCGGGGGGCCGCAGCCGCCCCAACCCGAGCTGCCCGCGCCTGGGCTGGCCGTGGACAAGGCGGCCACCGCGGCGCACCTGAAGGCGGCCCTCAGCCGGCCGGACAACAGGGCAGGTGCTGAGGAGCTACAGGCGCTGCTGGAGCGGGTGCTGAGCGCCGAGCGGCCGCTGACCGCGGCTGCGGACGGCGAGGAGGCGGCGGCAGCCGGCGGCGGGGGCGGTCCGGGGGCGGCCGAGGAGGAGGCTCTGGAGTGGTGTAAGTGCCTTCTGGCGGGCGGCGGCGGCTACGATGAGTTCTGCGCGGCGGTGCGGGCCTACGACCCCGCGGCGCTCTGCGGCCTGGTCTGGACAGCCAACTTCGTGGCCTACCGCTGCCGGACGTGCGGCATCTCCCCCTGCATGTCGCTGTGCGCGGAGTGCTTCCACCAGGGCGACCACACCGGACACGACTTCAATATGTTCCGCAGCCAGGCAGGGGGTGCCTGTGACTGCGGGGACAGCAACGTGATGCGGGAGAGTGGGTGAGTGGAGCCCTCCTCCGGGGCGGGGGGCACCGCGGGCGGCTCCAGCCGGGTCTGGGGAGGCCTGGGGAGGGGGGAAGGCTGGGAGCCGACCCTGAGCTGTCAGGGGAAGGAGTGGGGGAGGGTGCAGCCGCATGGGGATGGAGGTGACTGAGCTGTCAGCGGTGGAGAGGGAATGGGGAGAGGGGAGAGCGGAGAGCGTGTTTACCGAGCGAGGCTGTGAATTTTCGGGGAAGCCAGGGCGAGTGAGTGGTAGCGACAGAAGAACCAGTGCGTGGGGCAGGAGGGGAAGGAGGAGCAGAAGATTCTTGGGGAATCTGGTGTCGAGCTGTCAATTGTGCACTTACTGGGAAAAGCTTTAAAGCTGCCAGGTTCTTTGGGAAGAAAATGATGTGATTTGGATTGACTGGGAGGGGGATGGTGTTGGGGACCGAATTAGGTCGCAGGATCGTAAGAGTCGGGGAGGTGGTCTTGCAGCTGCAGGGGAAGACAGCTTGGGTGGAAGGACTTCTGAACTGTCAGTGTGTCTGTCAGTATCGGCGAAGGAGCTCTAGAGCTTATGAGGGTTGAGGGAGGAGGGAAGGGGAGGGGCCTGCATGAAAAGTGACTGTTGAGCTGTCAGCGGAGTATTTGGTGTGCTGGAATGACATCTAGAATTGGGCTACTGAACAGTCGGTTATAGAACACACTACATACCAGAAGAACAAACAAAACACTGAGCGAATTAGGAATCAAGTATTAGGTCTTCTCCAGCTAAAAGGGCACTTTATTCACGGACTGTTATGTGAACGTCTATCTTAAAAGGAGACAGTCAACAAATGCTTTTTTGATAGGATCAGTGTACCAGGGTGTTGGGACTTAGGACAAAAGGCATTTCAGAGATTGCAGTGAGTTAAAGAGTTGGTGCATGTAGTGTTTTGGCATGGGACATGTTATCAATATCTGGGGAAGTCCTGGGAAAAGAAAAAAACTTGTTGAAAGAGAGGACATTTTCGGGGCGCCTGGGTGGCTCAGTGGGTTAAGCCTCTGTCTTCAGCTCGGGTCACGATCCCAGGGTCCTGCGGTCAAGCCCCGCATCGGGCTCTCTGCTCGGCAGGGAGCCTGCTTCCTTCTCTTTCGCTGCCTGTCTCTCTGCCTACTTGTGGTCTCTGTCTGTCAAATAAATAAATAAATAAATAAAATCTTTAAAAAAAAAAAAAGAGAGAGGACATTTTGGCTGGGCAATAGTTGAAAGAATGTTAGCAACCCAGTTATTCAAGTTTTAATATTTTCTGGTCTTATAATTAATAATAGAGCATACTCCTTTTAGAAAGGGTCACTATTTTCTTCTTTAGAGTACTTGTAGGTTACTGTTACTACGGAATGTTTGTATCTACCAGGTGCCGGCAAGGCTCCTAGGATATTAAAAATGAACAAGACATTGACTTACCTCCTAAGCGGCTTAGGCTACAGTAGAAAATGATAAATTCTTTAAATACTCTGGGAGTTAGAGGAGGCTTCTCTGCAGAGTGAGTATGAAAAAGGCTTCAGAAAGGAAGTATTTTGAGCTTATAACTAGTACCACTACTACTACTACCAACAACAATGGTAGTAGTAATTGCAGCCAATATTTGAGAACTAAAATGTATTCCATACACTTAAAAATACTTAAAAAATTAATATTTGAATAGGCAAAATATTCATGTAGCCAAAAAAGCAAAAGAGAAAAAATAAAAAGATGCACAGTTTGAAGTTTCCCTCCCATCCTGCCTTTCATCTGCCCAGTTCCTTCTCACTGTTACTACTTTCTCTTAGTGTAAAAACAAACAAGGATGAATATGTATTTTGATTATTGTTTCTTTTTATACAAAAGGTAATGTAACATCTTGCATTTTTCACTTACCAAGCACTTACCAAGAGGTTTTTCCATGTCAGTAAATCAGTGTACTCACTCTACTTAAAAAAAAAAAAAAAAAAAATCAATCTGCTGTATAGTGTTCATGTTCATTGAGCCAGTGAAGGGGCAGAGAGAGAGAGAGAGAGAGAGAATGAATGTTAAGCAGTCTCCATACCCAGCTCAGAGACCCCTGTGGGGCTCTATCTCATGACCCTGAGATTATGACCTAAGCTGAAATCAAGAGTCAGAGGTTTAACCAGTTGAGCCACCCAGGTGTCCTGCCACTCTGTTTATCATCATTTTTGATATTTGACATTTGGGTTTCCAGTATGAAATAAAAAACCTGGTATACCTGTCTTTCTTTCTTTCTTTCTTTCTTTTTTTTTTTAAGATTTTATTTATTTATATGACAGAGAGAGAGACAGTGAGAGTGGGAACACAAGCAGGGGGAGTGGGAGAGGGAGAAGCAGGGTTCCCGCCAAGCAGGGAGCCCGAAGTCGGGCTCCTTTCCAGGACCCTGAGATCATGATCTGAGCCGAAGAAGGCAGAGGCTTAACAAATGAGCCACCCAGGTGCTCCCCCACTTTTTTTGTTTGTTTGTTTTTAATACTTGAGAGAGAGTGAGCAGGGGCAGGGGCAGAGGATCAGGGAGAAGCAGACTCCCTGCTGAGTGGGGCGGAGTGGGGGGCCCTGTGGGGCTCCATCTCAGGACTGGAGCTGAAGGCAGCGCTTAACCATTGAGCTACCCAGGTGCCCCATACCTGTCTTTTTACACCTGTGCAAAAATATCAGTGAGATAAATGGTCAATGGTGGGATTTACAAATTGCCCTCCATAAGGCTGAGTACTAAGCAAAGTATCAGACTTCCTGTGTTCCAATAGCCCCATCAAAAGAGTGTTATTAACACTCTGGATTTTTATCCATCTGTGTGGTAAACAGTGGTCAAATATTAACTGCTTTACATTATGTAACTCATTTTATCTTCAACAAACCTGAGATTGTTACTGTCATTATTCCCATGATACAGAAGAGGAAAGCGGGGCACAGTTTTAAAAAAACTTGCTCAGGATTATACAGGTAGTAAGCTACTGCTATTCTTCTGGCTCCAGAGAGTGACAGCTCAACATTTCTCTCTACTGCCTCTACAAATAGCATTCCTATTGAGTACCTCTGTTCAATACTGTGTTTTTGTCCTTTTTTTTTTTTTTTTTAAATATGCCATTCCTATTTGGGCCTTTGTTTCTTTTTCTTCTTAAAAACCTAAAAAAGGGGTGCCTGGGTGGCTCAGTCGTTGGGCGTATGCCTTTGGCTCAGGCCATGATCCCAGGGTCCTGGGCTCCAGCCCTACAATTGGGCTCCCTGCTCAGTGGGAAGCCTCCTTCTCCCTCTTCCACTTCCCTTGCTTGTGTTCCCTCTCTGGCTGTTTCTCTCTGTCAAATAAATAAATAAAATCTTAAAAAACAACACAAAACAAAACACCTAAAAGAAATTTTTTTTAAGAGTGATTTTAAAATGGGAATTGGAGGGGCACCTGGGTGGCTCAGTGGGTTAAAGCCTCTGCCTTCCCCTCAGGTCATGATCCCAGGTCCTGGGATCTAGCCCCGCATTGGGCTCTCTGCTCGGCAGGGAGCCTGCTTCCTCCTCCCTCTGCCTGCCTCTCTGCCTACTTGTGATCTCTGTCAAATATATATTTAAAAAAAAAATCTTTAAAATGGGAATTGGAACAATCCTTTACTGATATTTAGACATTTTTACTTCTTTTATTTATTTATTTATTTGACAGAGATCACAAGTAGGCAGAGAGGCAGGCAGAAAGAGAGAGAGAGGGAAGCAGGCTCCCTGCCAAGCTGAGAGCCCAATGCAGGGCTCAATCCCAGGACCCTGGGATCATGACCTGAGCCGAAGGCAGAGGCTTTAACCCACTGAGCCACACAGGCTCCCCAGACATTTTTACTTCTTAGACCAAGTTAGCATTTGGGACCCCTAAAGAGGGGGAAAGTAGGAAATAATACTGACTCTTTTCTGAATTTTGGAATACAGTCATAATAATCAGGTTGGTCTGCATGAGTTGTAGGTCTGATCTCAATTGTGATGCTTCCGTGTAGGAGCAGAAATATCTCAGTGTTTCTTTGAAGGTACCCATGCAGGGCGCATGCTCATCTTATAGCACTTGCCTTTACTGACATCTGGTAGATTCTTATTTTTTCCCTAGCCTGGCAGCCCTCTGTGAATTGATACATAGTAAATGATTCTTATTGCCTATCTGAAATGCAGAGGTATTGCCTGTATGTGCCAGCAGTTGCCATGTCCAATTTCATAAAGGAGAAGAATAAACAAGAAATGTATTGTGGCCATGTGAAAATTCTGGAATTTTTACAACTCTTTGGGTTATATAGAATAATTCTGGGCTACACACCTAATCAACTGCCTGGAGAGACATAGGCGATGTTAGCCAATAGTGCAGGATAAAAGGCTGCCTCGGGAATCTTTTCAGGACTAGAAATATCAACAAATTATAGTAGTGTTGCTGCCGGGCAGACTGGACTACCGTGGCTTGGACAGAATACACTTAACTTTTCTCAGTTTTTGATATTTCTTAAAATCCTTTTAGGTTCCTAAGAATTGAAGACATGTTGTTTTTGGGGTTGTTGTTGTAACTGCAATAGAAATTTTTAAATAACACTGTTCAGTAAATTTTTAAGGAAGGATTCTATTTTCTCTGTATCTGCTTTCTTAGAAAACCTGCTGTGCCTTAATCCTTTTCCCAAGTGTCTGTTGTGGTAGAATGTGTGATTGGAGATGGGGAAGAATGTTGGATCTGCCACAACCTATATTACTATTTAATTTTCATATTTATAATTATAAAAATATAGGGGGAGGATTTAGTTATTTTTGTAGTGGTATTGATATTGTATGGAAATATTAACAGATATACAAACCAAAGGAAGAAAACAACTGGAAGTTTTTTTTTTGTGGGGGTGCCTGGGTAACTCAGCTGGTTAAGTGTCTGCCTTCAGCTCTGGTCATGATCCTGGAGTCCCAGGATCGACTTCTACGTTGGGCTCCCTGCTCAGCAAGAAGTCTGCTTCTCCCTCTGACCACCCCCACCCCAATCTTGTGCTCT